TGTGTTTAATAAAAGGTTCTCTCTCTCTCTCTCTGTATATATACATATATTTAATGGTGGTAGTTGCAACAGGAGAAGGTGCCAGTGATAACCTGACACAAGACCCCAAACCACACTTATGTGTTTAATGTTGTAACAGTACAAAAGGGTTTTAATATTATCACAGCCCAATAGGCCCAAGGCATCAACCCAACAGACTAAGATTCTATTCCCAGTGCTGGGAAGGGAGCAGGTTATAACAGTTAGAGCACAAGAGACTGAGAGTCAGGAAACCTGGGTTCTATTCTTAGTTCTACTGCTGATTTGTGGGGTTACTTTGTGCAAGCTCCTAACCCTCTATGTCCCTTAGTTTCCCCTTCAGTGCAGTGGGGGCTGTAATATTAACCCATCTCCTGGTGGGACTGAGAATTATTTAATGTCTGTCTGTAAAGAGTTTTGAGCTTAGACAGAGGGTGCTAGGGAAGGGCAAAAAATTATTCTTAGAGCTGAGTCCAAATCATTAAGTGAGCATCTGGAGCTGAAAATTTTCTGTGTTTCCATAAGTGTTTGGATCCAGGATTCTGGTTCTGAACTATTATAGAGATCAGGGACAATCATGGAGTTCTGATCCAGATTGGAACATTCCCCAACTTCGTGTTTGATTCCAAGGTCTTTTGTTGGGTTCTAAGCTGCCTAAGCTGTGCTTCTTCATTATTTAAAATAATGTTTAGTATTAATAAAAATTATTTTAATTTAGATTAAAAATATAATGGGGAAAATTTCTAGCTGCATTAAAATTTTCAAGCTCCTTTTCTTTTTTACTGTGCCTTAATTTTTGCCTTGAACAAAGTTGATCCAGTCCCTTTTACTCTATCCACCTCTTGCCAGTATCGCTCTCCACCTCCAATGTTTTATTGCTATTTTTCCTTGCAGGCACATGTCAGACTGAGACTATGGGAAGAGAATTCATCACCTCCTACATGGACGACTGTGGGAACTCTAGTCAATTTGAAGTGCAAATTACTGGCTACTTTGCCTTCACTTCAGTGTCTGTTTCCATCTCCAATTACCCATTTGATAAGACGATTATGGTAAATCGGGGAGAGATGGTGCGGGTCAGTCTACCAGAGTCAGTGGGAATTAAGGGTGTTATCAAGTTCTCCAAGGTGGTCCTAGTCAAGGCTGACAAAGATATCTCAGTAGTGTCTGTCAGCAACAAAGATGTGAACCCTGAGACCACTGTGCTGTATCCTGTCTCCAGCTTGGGAAATGAACACTACATAGTGACTCCCCCTACAGAATCCTTAGATAGTTACCCAGAGTTCTCTGTTATGACATACGAAGACCGCAACCCTGTGACGGTCCATGTGAAAGGCAAGTTACGTTATGGAACAAGGGTCTACTCCACTGGTGAACACTGAAAATTATACTCCTTGCTTTCCAAGGCTACCAGTTACAAGGCATAGCAAATGTGTCTGGCACCAGGATTGTCTCAGAAAAGCCAGTGGCTGTTTTGGTTGGCCAGGTGTGTTTCTGTACTAGCACAAAATGCAACCATGTCTTTGAGCAGCTCCTACCAGTTTGCAGCTGGGGTACAACATACATCATTCCTCCCTTACCCTGGCAGAAAGTAGATGAAATAGTCTACATCACTGCTTCCCAGAACACAACTGTGTTGTATCAGCTAGGGGAACAGGCAGAGACTGTTACTCTAGCAGGAGGCAGTGTACTCCAGCGTCCTGTCAAGCCCTTGATCCCAGTCTACATCTCTGCTAATGTGGGCATCCAGGTGGTGTTCTACAGCGTGGGTGCACCTCTCCCTAATTCCTCCCACGCCTTCCTGATGAATGTTCCAGATGTTGCCAGTTACTGCCGGATGTATTCTATAAATGCCCAGCAGGGCTTCGAGAACTTTGCCTTGATGGTGGCCAATACAGCAGAGACTGGCGCCATCATCCTAGACAATCAGCCTGTAAGGGATGTGGTGTGGAACCGAGTCCCTGGCACTGAGTTCGTTTGGAGCATGCATACGCTTGCACCTGCCATCAGATCCCATGCTGTGGAACATCCCAGCTCTCCATTTGCGCTCCTGAGTGTTGGCACTGCCGCCATGGACAGCTATGGGATTCCGGGTTCCTGCAGGAAGAGTGAGTAGCATGGGTTTTAAATTGATTTTGACCATAGTTTGTGTCCATGCTACAAAGAAAACAGTGTCACAACCAGGGAGGCAACCATGGGCCTGGTGTAAAGTCTATTGATTTTGATGGGGCTCCATTGAGTTACACCAGCTGAGAATTTGGCCCAGCACGGCATCCTAGGCCACCACTAGCCACAGTTACTTCGGCTGTGTCCATACTACAGCAGTGACAGCAGCACAGCTACGGCGCTGCAGCTGTGTCTCTGTAGCACTGTAGTGTAGACACTTGGTACAGCGATGGAAGGGGTTTTTCTGTCACTGTAGTTAATCCACCTGCCGAGAGGTGGTATCTAGGTTGACGGAAGAATTCTTCTGTCAACCTAGTGGTGTCAACACTGGGCTTAGGACGCCTTAACTATGTCTCTCAGGGGTGTGAATTTTTCACATAGCTAGATCTACCTAAGTTTTAGGTGTAGTCCAGGCCTAAGATTGTGCCTGTGTTGCTAGCTGCACCAAAATAGTTTCGTCCCAGCTCATGCAGTTAGGCAGATGCTCACCAGCTGTTCTGAATTGGTTTAAGAACTGTTGCACTTTCCCTGCTACACCTGGTTGTAACGCCCTCTGGGTACCCAAAGTAATTTTGTGCCTGATTCTTACTTATGCCACTCCTGTGCTTGCGGCGGGGAATTGAAAGGGTGGAGGAAAAGGTAGCTTTAAGCCACCTTTGTGCTCTATGCATTCTGGGACCATGCAGGGATACTGTACTTTATCCTCTGCTTCCCATGGCCCCTGAGAACCAGAAAGTAGCTGTAGCATGGTGCATTCTGACTACATCTTTGATCTGCCTTGCATATGAAGCCAAGATCATGTAAAGGCCCTCCTACCAGTTCCACACTAGCTGTGGAGGGAATGCTCCACAGGGAACATTCCTAGGAGCCATTTACACCCACTTTAACCACCTTTTCCAGGCCAGAGAAACATAAGGCTTTTAGTGTAACTGAGGCCTGCTCAATACCTGAAACTTCAGTCAAGCATAAGCCAGCCTAAGCCTCAGTGTAGGCAACACTAGGTCAACAGAAGAATTCTTCTCTTGTCCTAGCTACCAGCTCTCAGAGGTGGATTTACTACAGCAATGGAAGAATCCTTCCATCACTGTAGTCAGTGTCTACACTACAGTGGCACAGCTGCAGCTGTGCCACTTTAGTGTTTCGAGTGCAGACATACCTTGATGAGACTCCAGCCTTTTAGAAGTACAATAGCAGGGTTAGAACACTTCTGGGGAAGGGAAACGTCTCGACTATATATGTAACAACCGTCATCTTGGTTATCACCAAAGATGAAACCCAGGACTTTGTAACTGCATGACCCACTACTGTTTGAGCTAAGGGATGAACTCCCATAGCTAGGAGCTGTAGCAGAACCCGACCCTTGGTGGACCAGCCCCTAGAGGACACATAACATACACTGATTAATGAGATACACAGGTAAAGCTTAAGTGAGTATTAACTAGGTGATGTGTGGACACACACCAGGCTTTTAGGGCCGAATGTATTGCTAACTGATTAGAGACTTAGTTGAAAGTTGTCAGATTCAGGGCTTAAGCGATCA